ATATTCTTATAAAAGGTATTTAAATTTTCAAACTACTTTTTCTCATTAATTTTAAATTTTAAGAAGAAAATTAGCAAGTACACGTGTAATACACGGGTGTTGTACTACTATATATATATATAGATTTATGTGTACTGGGGAAAATATAATATTCGTACCTAAATCTAGATTGGTCTTTTTGTTTTATCAATACATCTTGTACAATTCTGGTTCAACAAATGTGGAGATTTAATTCCTACTAATAAATGTATATCTTTTTTTTTAACTTGCTTGCAATAAAATTACATTTAAAATTAAAGTGAGTCTCCACTGTCTTTCTTTTTAGATATCTATAAGCAGAAGGCTATGGCATCAAACTCCTCCTAGTTACTAAAAGAAATTACATGGCTTGCCACTTAATTAATGTATTCTATAGAGAATGTTCCCCTAATTACGATGGACACATGTTAATATGCCCAACGGTTATGTGGCATGTAGATATTAGTAATGTTAATATGTTCAAAAAAATACATCACAAATGAATGCATACCACAGAAGCGGTGAACATATTAACCGTAGGTAGACGAGCATTACTGTGTATTCTATATTTCACACGGGTTAAATTAAAGACTTTGACCATACAGGTTAACAAGTGTGAGTTGTATACAAAATTGAGATTCGTAATTATGTTCAAATACTATAAAAGGGTTATATTAGAAAGAAATGCTACTGTACCGTTACGGAATCATTTCGTCAGAGATTGTAACATTTAGATAAACTATAAATGACAGTTACATGATGATCTAACGGTTACAATTTCTGACGGAATGACTCCGTAACAGGACCGTAGCTAAACCTTTTAGTTGGACAACTGTCTTTACTTGATAAGGAAAAAGTGCATAAAATAATGATTTTCAAGAGTTGACAACCACTAGTATACATCATAACGGATTACCCATAAACGTTTGTCCTTATTTGTGAATTGGTTGAATAATTGTTAACTGCTTATTAGTATATGATTTTATTTAGATTATATTTGTAGGTGCAAACTCAAGTACTTTTAACAAGTTCTAAAAATTTCCCGGTAGTTTTATTTTTCATTAGTGAACTTAGTATGCATATATCACTCAGCTCACTTCACACACCAAACCTACTATGACCAATAGTTGGTCGACACGTGTAAAGATGCTCAAATAATAAAAGAAAACGCTGAAGAAGAAGAAGAAGAAGATCATCAATTACATATAAAAGTAACAAGTGTGATGTACAAAGTTATCCAATACAATCAACCTAATTAGTGTTGTTGTTAGCACCCTCTTATTACATAATACATTTTATAAATAGTTATTGTGAGTTTTTGGGCAAGAAAATACAATATAGTAGTAAAGGTAATGAACAACCTCACACAAGTACAAAGTAGTATGAAAAAAAAAAAAATTGTGGTATATGTTAGGCAAAGCTAACGGTTAGATAATCATAATTAATATATCATTTGAAAATAAATAAAAACAAAAATATGATATTTCAAAAAATTAGTTATGTTTTTTTTTTTATTAAAACAAAATAGCAAATTTGATATGAGAGATCAAGCTACAGCGAAGACTGAGAACATATAAAATATCGTAAAGAGTGACATTAGATCCCAAATCGACAGTCCAACCTTGCTATCTACAGTTAAAGAACCATTCGACAATTGAACAAGATGGGCGGGTAAATCCCAAACATTGAGAATAAAATCCATGAATCATGTCATACGATGAGTCACCCCGTAGTCGTACATCCAATCAGATAAACGACGCTTACCAGACAAGTGAGTGATCTGTTTAGCGGAATTAACCAAAGACACAATGGGTCATTGGTCATTGGTTAAACTGCTGAGTGCAAGATGATCATAGTCACTCAAAGAGTCACTAGCAGCGGAAGAACCAACAGAACCGGCAACATGCAAATGACCAATTGAACTGAAGACGGCCGAATTCGCATGAGCATCACCCTTGCCACGAGCTCCACCGAAAAAACTACCGCGACCACCACCAGATCCAAACCATTCGAGTATCCAACAATCTCGAAACATGTCACAACAAAATGACCCATTCGGCCACAATGAGAACACTTGGGACAGCTACTGGCGCGCTGTCCGGTATGTTCGACGCTACTACTATCGACGCACGACCCGGCCGAACCTCTATGCAGCACGGCGACTGAAGTGGTTGTCCCGCCCGCAACTGCCGGCAGCCCCGACGAGTGAACTAGCTGCTGCCCTCACAATGAATGGACATGAAAGCCGGCAGCGCCTGATAGGACAAAGATGTCACCCGGGCTCCATCGGCTCGGATGGCCACCGTATTTGCAAGAACCCAAAGTCGGAGACCTCGGGAGGGGTGCCCGGCTTTGGGCCTCCAATGCTTAAGTCAGTACTGGATTCATATGAGAATGCATAGAGAGGGAGTAGGGAGAGAGTGTAGAGAGAGAGAGAAGAGTGTAGTGATGGAATGAGGAGAGAATGAAGGAAAAGAGTACCTTCTCCCTCTTTTTATAGGGGGAGTATACCTTATGGTCCACGTTGGGCCTGGCCTAAGTTGGGCGGCCCATATTATCATATCAAGTGTCTTAGTCTATGTGTAGGCGTATTCTTCAATATATATCCATAAAAACCGGTCGGGTACGACATGCTATATCAGATACTACCGGTCGAGCCGGCAGTACTTGTCGTGGCTATATCAGCGCCCAAGGGCGGCTACTCATCGCCAGAGATGATACGCATATGTCCTTTTTAAATCATCGTAGAGTACACGCGATTCAAAGGATGGTAACGGTTCTTGGGCAAGAATATGGGATTGTGGTATCCCATACAAAGCCAAATCGAGCCCCTTCAAAAATGGATGTGCGCGTTCGTCCCTGTTCATTCAATTACAAGCCGTCTCCAAATTAGATTCGTACTTCCCACAATGACAGACCGATGACTTCTCAAAACCGGAGAGATACTCCTAAATCTTCATAATATTTCCATAGTAAAGTTCAATTAACAAGCCTTTCTATTTGCAATTTGAAAGAGTGGATTTCAACTGTTGAATTCCTAGGCCATTACGAGTAAATAAACGCTCCTTAAGAGAAAAGCAAATATCTTTGACATACTCGGTTGAGTAATGGAAGAGCGAATCTTGGGATCAATAGAATTCCTGAACCATGAGACCAACAAACCATCGTTGGCACACCAATATTCGAGCACTCAGAATCGGCGAACGGACATGAGATTGAGCCGTCGAGGAAACAGAACTTCTTTCAGGCCTGGAGAGCAATCTGAAGACTCTGTGCCATTCTTCGTAATTGGAGTTACCCTTAAGCAATACTTGAGTGATTAGATTGTCTGGATTGTCAAAAAACGTGATATCATCTACTGAGATGGTTTTTGGACCACAACCGTAACACTGTTGCCACCACCTGTGCCGGAGTCGGGCGTTCAAGACGTAGCCATGAAGGAGCCGCAACAAATGTCGAGTTAATGAGGAAGACAACAACCGTGAATCTGGGTCGATGTTGGGTCGCTGAGAATCTGACCTTCTTTTTTTTTTTTGCGATACGTGCACTGCTGCAAGCCTTTTTTTTTCTCGACACGCACACTGCTTCTTATCCCCAAACCTCA